CTCTCTCTCTCTCTCTCTCTCTCTCTCTCTCTCTCTCTCTCTCTCTCTCTCTCTCTCTCTCTCTCTCTCTCTCTCTCGTAGTCCCCGGCCCCCCCCTCTCTCTCTCTCTCTGGTAGGCTCCCCCACTCCCGCTCTCTCTATTTCTTTCTCTCTCGCACACTCATAACAATAAATGGAACAAAACTCTCTCTCTCTCTCTCTCTCTTGTGTTAGCTCTTAGTCTCATTGATTTGGCTACCTTAGGGCTGCGTTCCCCGCGCCCACGCGGTAGACAATGTGTGTGTGTGTGTGTGTGTGTGTGTGTGTGTGTGTGTGTGTGTGCAGTGTGGGGGAGGAGGAGGGGAGAAGGATCCTAGGTCTTATTGGTTGGAGCGCAGACTAGCAAGCGATGCTACGAATGCTGCTGTGAAATCCGCTGGACTTTGTGCGTTTTTTTTTTTTTTTTTTTTCGTGTGTGTGCAGTGTGCAGTGTGCAGTGTGGAGGAGGAGGAGCGCAGTACTCTTTGGATGGAGATGTGTTGTTATCTGATTTGCTGACTCCTGTGGCATGCTCTGTCTGTCATGCAGCTGACATCGAGTGTGATAAATGGAGGAGTTTTGGCTTTAGGGCTTCTCCTCTGGGTTATGGGACTCAAGGCTTGCGGACCTGTCAGGTATATTTTCAATTTTCAAGAACTTTGCCATTTTTTTGTAAACGTTGCATATAACTAGTATAAAACAAAGCTTTCATTCATTCGATGAAATTCATTCATGCGTATGGAGGGTTTTGCTGATGTGTGATGGAAGTCTTTCATCCAACATGTAGCAGAAGATAATCATTTGCGCGCGTATATTTGGAATTCCGAATTTGTCGTTTGTAGCTCTTTTGTGCAATCAGGAAATTATTAACTGGAATTTCTTGACTATATGCCACATATTTGAAACGAGTCATATCTAGCAGGTTTTTTGGCCAGTCACAGAATTTATTGGATTTCAAATTTTCAATTAGATTTCCATCATTTCCTTGGCTATAGAAGCATCAGTATCCTGACTGTTTTTTTTTTTTTTTTTGACAAACAGCCAGAGGCACCTACTAGGGGAGCATGCTAATCCTGTCCTTGACTATAGATATTAATAGTGAAGAGGTTGCATCATCATCAATGAAAGTCTGACAGTACCGTGGAAAAATATTTAGTTTGATTGAATCAAATTCAACTATAATGAGTTGAGCTAAATTCGTAAACGGTAATCGAACTGTTCGGGGCTTCAGTTTTGTAGCCGATCGACCCACAGCCAGACGGAGTCGAACCACTGACCTCGCCCATGACAGGCATCTGGCTTCACCATTGCAACCGTGACCTGGTGTTCAAAATTGAAGCCTTACTGGTCTTGCCATTCAGCCCACCCCAGCACAGTTTTGCAGCAAGGACTTCCTCGTCAGCACGCTGACATATAATCGAACTGGACTCTTTGTCTGTAATCGAATCCATTTCAACTAATAACAATTGTATGACTGTACATTAACTAAATTCCAGCTATTGGATGAACTCGAAAGTTGAATTCAGGTCATCTTATGAAAGGGGCAATTCTCTATAGGCACCTGTCAGAAGGTGCAAAGGTGGGTAAGATGCCCCTATCAGAATGTGCCTGGCCACCCAGCACGTCCAAGCACATCAGCATGCACCAGGCAGGCTTGTTTCACCTCCAGCTACTCTCTAATAGGGGCATTCTTGCGACTGTAGGGGCCATGGGTTTTCATAATCGAGGGTGGAAAGGGATTTTGGGAGGAGGGGGGAGGGGGGGGATTTGTAAAAGCAGGTTCCAAAAGAACTTGTGTCAATCCGTATTTTTCAAAGGTAGGTTGTGGGGTTTCTTGGCAGATGGTGAAGGTGGGGAAAAAAAAGTTTATACCATTTCCGTTTGCCTTTCTAGAGTGTTTTTTGCCATTCTAGTGTGGTTGGGTGGTTGTGATTACTTGACCCCTATGCCGCAGAGGTGAGGTAGCTGTGCCCTTGTGAGGTGAAAGGGGGGAAAAAACGTGTGTCAAAGGTGTTGTAGAAAAGTGAGAGGGTGTTTTCCTTGGCATCGTTGCAGTATTGGTGCATATTTAAACATTGTTTTTTTTTTTTTTTTTTTTTTTTTTGCTTTTTTGCAAAAGCAGGTGCTAAATTTGCATGGAATTCTGCGAATTATGAACATCCTACTGAAGCTGTGTGAATGAAATTGCCTTTTTCTTCGCAGATCCATTATGGCCGAATATGTTGGAGTTGTTGCCGGGGCGACCTCAGGCATTTTCCGGGGAAGAAAAGCCAAGAGGGGTTCCAAGGTAATCAATAAAAACTAATCACTTTCATAAAAAGAACCAAGAGAAAAAAGCCAAAACGGCATCCAAAGTAACTAAAAGTAACAAAACAACGCCCCTATTACAATTGTTTTTTTTCTGGTATTGTTATTTTAACTCGTCCATTACTATTGAGACTCTAGTGGCTCATCCCACCGATAACCAGTTAGAGAAACCTTTTTCTTTTCTTTTTTAGGGAGATATCCCGGGCGCCCGGGTCCCGATGTCATGCCCGGATTGGCGACCGGGTGACCGGCTGGGCATGACCCCCGGGCATGGCCCCGGGCAGCCCCAGCGCCAAAAAAAAAAACACAAAAATCCAAAAAAAATCCGAAAAAAAATTATGTTGTCTAGAATTGCAATACAAACAACTTTTGACTGAGTGTCACATCAGAATTAGTCGCAGAACTAAAGATAAAAAAGAAAATAACCATATCACACTAAGCCACCCCCCTCTAAACCCCTTCAGCCCCTTTAAAATTCATTTACACTCCCCTTTCCCCTATTGACAGCCAACACTCAAAAAAAGAAAAGAGCCCGGATTTGGGCTCCTCTCAGAGAGCACGGAAAAACCCCACGGCCAATTTTTTTTTCTGCCATGATCGGGTCGCCCGGGCGTCACGCCCGGGTGACCGGCCGGTCCAGACCGCCCGGTCATGAAAATCTTCCTAGTCATATTATCAATGTAGTGGCACTTCCGGTGTTTTCTTATGGAAGAAAAGGGTAGAACTACTGGGGGAGGGGGAGAAGGAAACCCTGTTAGCACGATCTATCCTTGTGAAACTTAAACCCTCTAACCTGCTCCTGAGTAGTTTTTGGGCCACATGAAGATATAATGATATCCCCATGTGCTCCT